GAAGACACCTACGGCGCAGGTAGCTGAAGAGGGTAATCGCACTACACGAAGCCCCACCCACTGAGAGATCAAAGTCGTGGCAGGCGAGAAAGGGGCGGGCTGCAGCGCGTGGAAAGACCTCCCCAAAGGCTACTGGCGACAGCAAGCCAGATATCAGAAAACCCTCGGAGCAAGGAGGCCCGAGGTAGGATGTTTGAGGCCCGGCGGTTACACCAAAGGGAACTGGTGTCCTGAGACACTGATAGTGATAGGGGGCCACAGCTTGATGCCTGAGAGGCAAGACTGGGGCTAGCCAGGTAGGGGAAATACCAGCTGGCAAGGTGAACTGAGACTTTCTCTGGGACCCTGGGGCAGCCTCTCTAAATACTATGAAAGTTCCATCAAGGCATGGCAGGGGAGGTAAAAATGGGAGGGAACTCTGAGGTGCCAGAGTGAGGCATGAATCTCTTAGCTCTTGGCTTGGATGGGGGGTATCATGGCTGTGCTTTGGGATCAGATCCTGCTACAGGGGCCATCTGGGCAATGATGTACAAGAAGATGGCCCAGCACATCTGGAAGTTCCCCAGCCACTGCTCATTGTCCCAAGTGCCCAGGATGATCAGCTTCCACCAGCTGCCGCTGGTACTGCAGGCCCAGAACAACAGTCAACAGTTTGGAGGTAGTGCCAGAGTAGCCCAGAGGACATGGTGTCCAGGATAGCCTTGTCTTTATCATCCACATGGAAGTCCTCAGCTAAGTCCAAGAAGTTTGGTGGCCACAGGGTGAGGTAAGTGGCCCCACATAGGTTACCTGGCTCCTGGGTTGTGGGCATGAAGGCATGCGCCACTGTGATCATCTGCTAAGCCATCTCCAGATGGGCATGTGAAATGTCTGACAGCCTCCAGCGAATGTCTTGCAGAATGACAAGAACGCACCAAGGTTCCTGGTTCCCTGGTCTTGGGCACATGTGGCAGGGTTCCATAGCAGGATACAAGCAGAGAGACTAACACATATGCAATTGTCATGATACGGCCTCCCCAGAGATGGCCGTGATGTCCCTAGGGCACCGTGACCATGCTGGGTCCAGCCTATGGGCACCTACTAATCTCGCCTGCCACATCTTCCTGATTCGAGCTGCTGTTCTGTCACAGCCCTGACAGACTCTTCTAAACCCTGTGGGTTGCTGGACCCCTTATTGGGTCCCACACTCAAGAGGTGCCTTACGATACCCCCAAGCCTTATGGGCTAGATGCGTGGCTCCAAAACCTTCCCTTTACCATGCCCCATGCCTTGCAGGTGGCAATTAAATGTTGTCCCTTTTTATGATGCCTCCATCTAGCTTGGCCTCCTGTCATTGCACCCTCTGGTGCTGGGCTCTCCACAGCCCTGTCGCTGCGCCCTCTCAGGTGCTGGGCTCTCCACACAGTAGTGTGCCCCAATGAGGCCTCCTCCTCCCCAATAGCCTCAGCCTGGTCCACTGGTTTAAATAACAACAGAAAACACAAGCCCCTGGGCTACAACACAACAATAACATAGGGTCCACACTCTATCCCTTTTAAGAAGGCACGCTTCTCTCTCAGTCTAATGGGCCTCCACCCCACCAGCACTTATGAACTCCTATAGTCCCTACCAGCAGCAGAACATGCAGTCAAGCACCTCCAAGTAGCTTCCTTTATGAGAGCTCCTTCCCCATTAGCTGCTGACAGAGAACTAACCCTCTAGCACCAGCCCTGGAGTTTATGTGCGCCCAGGGTTCTGCCTGGCTCCTAGGGCCCTCTCTCTAGGCAGTTTCTGCCCTTAAGGAGCAGGCGCACCTTAGTGCCCTGTGACAGCAATTAACAAGAGAGAGCACTCACTCCAGAAGCCTTTGGGCAGGGCAGGACAGGAGGAAGGGGTCACTGTGAGGAGGAGCTCCCTAGGAGAGGTGGGGCATGGTTCTTCATGGTACCCAGCCAATCAGGGCTGGCCCAGATGCTCAGTTGTGCTCGGCAATGTCCAGCAGTCCAGGGAGCCCACAGGGCATGCTAGGATATGTGCACAACAGCCCCTGATCTGCAGGCCATTGCCAGAGTAGGCTGCCTGCACAACTCCACAGCGAATGCCTGCACACAGCTCTACAGACTGATCTACACTTTAGGTTGCTCAAACTAAACCATATAACTTAAACCATTTCTTACCTACTCTTTGTAAATGCTTGTACACTGGAGTAGCTTCTATTTACCCTGAAGAAAATTCAGATTTTTTCTATTTCTAGAGATATGCCAGTGGCTTTAAAAGATGGAAAAAGAATGGCCACACATCCTCAAAAACAAATATTTGCTATTTTCACTTAATTATATTTTTAATGTACCGCAAATGCATACATAGCAAATACATGCTTATGGTTGCCAGTAATTATTTTTTTACTCAATAATTGTGGCCATATGTAGAAAATACTCTTTTGATTAACAGAGTCCAATTAAATGATTACTCAATACTAGACTGAAAATTCTGTAAACCATCAAATACAGCTGGATGGAAAGGATCTCACCTTCAGAAGAACATTTGCCTGGACTTCTGGGTTCAAAATCCAGCTCTAATCATGTATATGTGGGTCTGTGGAGGAATTTATTTTTTCTGTTTGCATATCTGTTTACATTACCAGCAAAAAAGGCAATTTTCAGAGACAGCAAACTATATATTTGAACACAACTCATAGAGAAATAGCTGACATTTTAATGTAATTCTACTAGGCAAGAAAGGCTGGAAATGTTTTTGTAGCCATGCAAGTCTTGCCGCCTTTTTCTGTAACAGAATTAGGAAAATAATATTCTGTTAAATTATCTTCTATCCAATGTCCAGAAGTTAAAATTCTTGATTTCTGAAGAACCAAATTTTATGGGGCTGACCTACATGGTAGTGGGTGGAAGATTAGGAACTGGGAATGGGAAAATGCCTGAAACCAGTGGATAGGTTGGGAGGGTTGGAGTAGTACAGCCTGCTTGTTGATGCTACTTCAGATGCTACTCTGCACTGTTACCTTAGGATTGTCACTGGTTCCATACATCTATCCCACAAACACTCTCCTAGTATCAGCATATTCAGAATCAGTTAGCAGTTCACCTATCAAGTAAGAAGCAGGCAAGTAATTAATGCCATGTTAAATTGTAGAAACCATGTTTCTTCCTACCTTCCTTTTTATAAGATATTTGTTTCCATTCAATAATGATTTTTTCATCCTCTTACCAAAGACACATTTCCTTTTGTTGGCTCTAGTTTTGCTTTCATGAGAATAAATTCTGTCCAGATATAGCTGAATGCTACTTTGTGTTTTTATACCAGTTTATATCAGAGTGAATTTCTCTTACTATCACCAAAGATTACTCTATCACTTTATTTATATTCATTGAATTCTGCCTTCACATTTAGTTTTTCAACTACTACCAGTGAGTCAAATGTGTACTTTCCAAGGTGTATATTTCTTATGTTTAACTGAATAGTTTTGTACGTCATCATGCTGTGGTAATTCATTGTGTTGAATTGATAAGCAGCATAATGTCATGATTAGTATATGGCTTCTAAAGTCAATCCCATTTTACAAAATTGTTCACCTTCTTAAGCATTTAATGATGATACTTTCAAAACAATTTGCATATTTTATCATCTTATCTAGTTTTGTTGCTTTCTATTCCATCATGATATTTTTCTTCATGTCTTGTTTTTACTTTCATTGATTGATTATATTTGCCCAAATGGAGAGACTGTCACTTAAACCCCAGAGTAAGGGCTAACACAGGAATTAATTGGTGTGTATCATTTGATGTGATCATTCTCAAATTTGATACCTATCATTTTTAAATGCTGAATTTCCTCATTTAATGCATATTTTCTATTATACTTGAGAACATTTTTTCCTAGAATTTCCTCCCTCTCTATGGTCCCTCCTACATGTTATATCTGTGCTGTGATTAACATGTATGTTACTACTCTCCTGTCCCCTATGGGAACAACTGTGAAAACACAAATGACTGCCATCTTGTTAAAAAAAAAGCCTTTGTATATTTGAGGGCCCTTATCAAATTCCTCTCAGTTTTCTCTTCTCTAGGCTAGTTCTTCAGATCTTTCTTTATATGCTGTATTTTCTTGACCTACAATAATTTTTTGTTTCCTTCTGGAATCTTTTTAATTTGTCCAACTTTTTTTTGCAGTGGTGCAAAATCTGAACATGCTAGTTCAGCTAAGGCTTCACTACTCCTGAATAGAATGGAAAAATCATTTGCCATAACTTGTTTATGACACTCCTGTTAAATACATCCCAGTATCCCAGAAGATACTAATTCTATATACTCTTTAATCTTGGCATAAATTAACATGCTTTGTCTTCAGATCTTATAGAAAGGGATTTGCTAAACTGCTGAATACAGGATCTTTCCATAAGCATACATAATCCCTTACTTATTCAGATCATGCAAATGTTAATAGTGTATTGGTATTTCATCAGTGGAATTCTGCTTTGATCATTATCTATCCTGAAAAAGATTATTCTGTGTTTTTGAATTCCCTCTTGGCCTTTCCATCTCCTATTGTTTCACAAGGTTCTGAACTTGAAACGCAATTACCCATGAAGGAAAAGGCACCAACTGAAAAAGCAGGAATTTTATTTTTACTAGCTTAGAAGCAATAATGTTCTGTTTCATCTGTTGTCTCCTCCACATATGCACATAAAGCAAACAGTAAAAGTCTGTGACAAGAAAGAACTGCGACTACTTCATATCCCTTTCTTACAATGACCCTATTGGACTTCTTCCCTTTAATATTAGTCTTGTAGACCCCGCCTTCAATAATGCCTCCACTATTTGTAATGCCTACACATACAACAATGAAAACTTTTCAAAGTGTTAAAGAAAATTAAAAAAAAAACTATTTGAGTCCAATAAAGCTAAGGTCAGTACCATACAATTTCAAAGGAAAACAGGGCAATAGGGCATCTGAAAGTGATTACTTTTTTGTCCCCAATGATTCTTTGAAGTTTTGTTACTCACGGTAAGTCCTCCAATCTGGAGGCTTCATGTCTTGGGTCCAAAAGATCATAACCACACTCATTGTAGATTTCCAAGTAGGAAACATGGGTTGTGTACACTTTGCTGCTGTCCTGAATAGGAAAGGAAATAAAAAAGAGCTATAAATAGCAAGCCAAGTCTCAGGGCAGATGGACAAATTTATCACTATAGCTTCCATGTTGCCTCGTCACCCTGTTTCTCATTCTTTTTCTGGATATGTTTTACATTTTCAATTCGTGACACTTTTAAGTTCATCTGTTACCATATGCATGAAGGCTTTAAAAAAAAAGGGACCTACGCCCATCATTAGAAGCAAGTTTAGTCTGTTATTTTTTTTTATTGGTTCCATATATCAAAAAAAATCTGTATACACTTAGAATGTGGCTGCTTGGTTGCAGAATTGTGTAACGTACTATTTTTCACTTCTATGACAAAGACCCATGTTACCAAAGAGGTAAACCCTCATATTATGGATAAAAAGACTATCCTTAAATAACAACATAACGATTTACTTCATTTAGAAACTCCAGTGACACATTGTTTTCCATGTTCTTTATCAAAATATGTAACCATGACGTATGCTGTCAACTATCCTCTGTAGCCCTTCTGTATTCTATACTTCCAGAATGTAACATAACCCAACTGGTTCCTGCAGACAGGATTCTCTCCTCCCCAGAAGTCAAAACCAAACAAAGTAAAACTCAAAATACTGAGCTACAGTTTACAAAATGTGAGTGAATGAATTTATTTCATTGGATAAAGCAACTGTAAGAGCAACCACATCATGCCTGTAGTGAGAGTTTCCTACTCAAATCTGCTAACTTTATTTTATAAGGCTATTTTGAGAAAAGAGCTGTTTATTTTTTTACTGAATAACATTATCTAATATGACATTTTAATTGATTGTGACAGATTAGTATTTCGTGGAATATGAAATATTCCCTGTTTTGAAAGACATACTGTGGTAAATGAGAAAAAAAATCTGTATCACGAAACTGTGGAAATTGTAGAGGAAATTTCCGAACAGGACAAGGAGATGTATTGGACTGTGATTCTCCTAACTCTTAGTTGTAGCCAGTTGTGCTTCCTTGAACCTGAGCTGACTGGTCCAATTTAAGTTACAGGTGTGCAGGAATAGATCCATCTTACATCACTGGTATGACTCCTCTATATAAGTTTGCTACACTGCACTAAATGAGGAGGGCAATCTAATAATTGATTATATGGGGGAAGGCTGAAGTAATGAATGGCTTTTTTCACTTCAGTCCTTACAAATCAGGTCAGCTAGCAGATAGTGAGCACCTTTAGCAGCAAAGAGAGAAGAGAAGATAACCAGCTCAGAGTAGGGAAAAAATAAATTAGAGATTACTTAGTCAAGCTGAATGTTTTCAAATCAGCAGGGTGAAATGAGATTCACCTGGAGTACACCCGGAATTGAATAAGCCAATTGCAGAGCCATTAGCTATTATCTTAGAGAAGGTAAGGCAACCTCCATATAAAGGGAAAAGGACAACTATAGTTCCCATCTTTAAAAAAGGAAAAAGGAGGACTGAGGAAATTAAAGACCAGTCAAGTCTATCCTTGATACCTGGTAAGATTACAGAATGTAAGATCAAATACCTGGAGATGGATCAGAAACAGCCAATATGGGTTTGTTGAGAGCAAGTCATGGTTGACCAACCCAGTTTCTTTCTATAACAAGGTGATGGGCTTTGATAGGGGGAATGCAGTGGATATGATATTCCTTAACTTTAGTAAGGCTTTCAGTAGGGCTGTGCAAAGCTTTGGTCACTGATTCAATTCAGCAGAGATTTGGCCCGATTCAGTGGCCAAATCTCCAAATCTGAATCAAATCAGGAGACCTATTAATCTCTCTGAATCGAATCAGAACCCTCCAAATTGATTTGAAGAGATTCAGAAAGATTTGATGATTCGGACATAGACACAGCTTTAAATGTTTCTTCTATATAGCTCAAGATAGTAGGTGGCTTATGAATGCTGAGATGCGGGGCAGATGGAGCATGCCACAGGAGCACGGTGGGGTCCCCAGTGTGCTCGGCAGCAGACCCGGAAGTGGACCAGAAGCACATCCGGTCCACTACCAGGGAAGGCATAGGGGTGCCCCTCCCCCCCCCCCACCTCCTGGCTCAGCAACTAGTGCCTCCTAGGTCTGAAGGGACACCCCGGGGTCCCCCTGCAGCCAATCACTGAGCAGTAGAATCATTTCACTTGATTTGCAAGTGACAAATCCTGTTAATATATAGCCCAGTATGCTTGTAGCTCTTTTTTGCAACAAAAGCATAATCAGCTAACCCCCACTATTAGATCCTAGGAAAATATGGATGAAACAACTACCATCACAAAAGGAGCATCTATGCTTTCTCTGCACCCTGGATGGTAACTGGATATCTGCTGGCTGTAGGATCACAGACCTAGGTTTATATATAAATTCAGTGGCCGAAACCAACACACAGATTTTGTATAGGTGCAGCAACCACTTATGCAGCACACAGAACTGCTCTTCTTATCTGCCTGGCTATAATCACATGGCATTTCCTTTTCAATGGACAAACCTTGAACATTTACACAAGTTTTGTGTAGGAAGAAGTGAATTTCTCATTGCTAGTGAAATCCTCCACTATAAATAGGGACCTACTTAATTTGTGGCCAGACAAAGGCATTTTCACATCTTGGTCACAGCATGAAGAGCTGATTTCATGGGCATTTCCCAGAGGCACCACCCCTTGCCACTGACTGCCAGAGAGACCCTGAGGGGAAGAAAGGACAATGAGGCAGCTGCCATCTTGGCTTTGGCTGCCTTTCATATGGTCCAGCCTCTCGCCACTGATTGGTAGAGAGACTCCAGGGCCAAGGAGGGACAAGGGGGTGGCCACCATCTTGGCTGCTGGGTGCCCGTCGTGCCACCCGATGCCATCACCAGCTGGGGCTCTCCCTTCCTAGGCAGGCTACAAGGCAGCAAGGAATTCCAGCTCCCACTGGAGAGCCAACATTTTATTTTAATAAGTTTTTAAAATTGATTTCACAGACAATTGTGCATTTTGCGGTTTCCACAAAATCGTAAATTAAGTAGGTCCCTAACTATAAAATGTACTGTATGCCTGTCTAGAAAGTCCACATATTTTATTTAATTGCCTGCCTAGAACTAACTGTGTTACCAATGTATCTTTTTAAATGAAAAAAGCCAGGCACTGCTAAACATTTATTTGCATGGCTTTATGTCTCAAAAGGAGCTTTGTGCAATTATATATAATAATAGAAGCTGTTTCATTTCCACCATCCCATCCACCAAAAATACTCTTCTTTCAAAGATGCTTCACTCTATTCTGACTATACCTTATAAAGCAAAAGGGAAGTTACAATGCACCAAAAGCATAGTGAAGTAATAACAACAAGCATATTTGTATAATACATCTTAGGATTTTAAATGCAATTTTTAAAAATAAACCAGTGCATTCATGTTGCATGGGGAACCAGGCATTGGGCTGCTGGTGCTGTTCTCCCCATGTAAGAGGAGCTATAACACATGTGCTGTCCATAGCAGCAGCAGACAGGGTTCATACAACTCCCAGTGCATAGGGAGCCCAGCACCAGGCTGTCTCAAACCAGTGCTGGGCTCCCCATGCTCCAAGCCAATTGTCAGCTGGGGCAGGGGATCAGTTTGGTTCCCAGCCCCAGTTGACAATCAGCTGACTGGTTTCATTTTGCTGGTGCTCCCCCTGCACCAGCCAGCAAGGTACAACTGGGATCTAATTCCTGATTCCAAAAATCATGCATCCTGCTAAAAATATTTTTTTAAATAACAAAAATATTTTTTAAAAGAAATTAATGAATGTTGTAGTACATTTTTGATCTTCAGAATATAATTTGGTATTTTTCTGGTTCAGAGATGGCAAAATCCCTTGCTGAAAGGAGTAATTCCAGGGGGCAAGGGGAGGGGCTTCTGGTGGCAAAGGTCAGGTGTTAGGTGGTGGGACTTCTGATCTCAGGATGGTGATCAGGGGGTGGGGTCCCTGTCAAGGGGCGGGGCTACCCATGTGGCCCTTGAAGGCTTGCCAAAACTTGGTAAGCAGCCCTCCGCCCAAAATAACTGCCCGCCCCAACCTAGATTGTATCCATTAGGTACCTCCAGCTTAGGTTTCAGCATGTCTAAGCTGTCTTATTCTAACTGGTAGGATCAAAGAAACAGGGTTAGGTATGTAGGCTGCCTCTAGAATCAGAGAGATTTAAAGACAATTTAGGGACACCAGATGCTGACCTCTAACTGTCTAGAGCTAGCCAAAAAAAAACCCCACTCAGCATAGGGATGTGTGAGAACTCCTGTCCCTCTCTAAGGAGTAATACCAGCATAGAACCCACCCCAAAGGACTCGTAATATAATGCCCCTCCCCTCCCATATGTATCCTCCTCTCAGGTGGATTAATCCCCACCCCTTTCTCACACCAATAAAAACGTAACCAGAAGTTTTCTGCTTGCATCACCTTTCCATTTATTTCCATCTGTAACTGGTACCCAGCTATCCCCGCATTTGTCTGGGTCATGGTTGCCATGCAATTGGTGTTAGAACCAAGACCTCCCTTATGATACCACCTGACAGTTGTGGCTTTCCAAGGACACCAGCCCCAGTTATTCACACAGCTGACATAGCTACTCAGCTGCCTCTCCCTCAGCAACTTGCCCCTCATCTCACAGATGCTGTCCAGGCCACTGCTAGCTACACCATCTTCACAAGATAATAATTAAATGCATCTAGCCAAACACTGAGGGATCAACACCTGGCCCTTTGATGCCTGATGGCCCATTTAACCATCTTCATGACAGCTCACTCTTGGAGTTCAGGTGTCCTGTGTATGACTTCATCATAAGTACAAGGAAGAGTGGGTAGGCCAGGTTGCTGAAAATTGGTTTGGGAATCACAGAATCATAGAAACCCAGGGCTGGCAGAGACGCCTGGAGGTCATCTAGTCCAACCCCCTGCCTGAGGCAGAATCATTTCTATCCAAATCATCCTATACAAACCCTTGCCTAACCTATTAATAAAACTACACAGTCAACCTTACAGGGGTGTACCTTG